TCTCTTATTCATTCATATAGATTATTTTTATATTTCTCTCTTCTCTTTTTTCTTCTTTTCTATTTAACATGACATAATCTTCCATTATTTTATTCATTTTTACTTCACTCTTTCTTTTCAATGTTTTCTTTTTATTCTTCTTCCATTACTTTCTTCGCGTCGTTATTGTTCTTATTTTCCTTCATTTTTTTAAAAATTTCTATTCTTCTTCCTTCATTTCTTTATTTTCCTCTTTATCTGCTGCTTTTATTCTTTTATTTTCTTCCTTTTTTTACTTCTTTATTTTCCTCCTTCTTTTTTCACTACTTTATTGGCCACCTCTTCCTGCTTTCTTCATTTCCTTATTTTTCTTCTTTGTCTTCCTTCATTTCTTTATTATTCTCCTCCTTTTTCATATCTTTATTTTCCTCTTCCTCCTCACCCGTCTTCTTCTTAGTCTTCCTTTCCCTCCTCCTTCTTCTTTGTTTCTTTTCTGTATCTTCTTCTTCTTTTGATTATTATTATTATTATTATTATTAAACAATTCAACCTGCACGCATTTAAGACGCCATTATTATTCGGCTTTTATAATAATTGATGCGAATCTCTCTGTTCAATTAACTTCCCTTCTGATCAAACAGGATTTTGATTTCCCTCTTTATAGGCAACCCAGTGTCGACTTCTTTCATCCTTTCTTAATTAATTTATATGTGCAAATTCTGCTTTTTCATAAGTGTGCACACTTGCGAATTGCATATCTTTGACAGTCCGGTACGATTATTCCCATCTGGATAAAATATCATAGATTATTTATCGACTTGGATAAAAATCCACCCGGCATATCCTTATTCCAATTGACCTTTTTATTAAATATTCAGCAAATGTCCTACCTATATTTAATTTAAGTTGGTAACCTTCTCGCACCAAGCGTTTCCTTATTGGAAATTATTTTTCAAAAAAAAAAAATCAGATACCCGTGTTATTCCAATCATCCCTGTTATTCTAAATACCCCTGTTACTCCAAACACACCGTCTATTTGAAACCTAAATGTACATATAGATTTTCCTAGAATAGCTTAGATGTGGCACAAGGCCGAAAGTAGGGGACACCCAGTGAGGATCGAACTCACTACTCAGGAGTAATTGTTCTAGAGAGACAAGCTCGCTAACAATTACACCGCCTCGAGGTTCGCAACCGAAATGTACATATGCTCGCTCGCTCACTCACTCACTCACTCACTCACTCACTCACTCACTCACAAAAGTGTTTTACCCTCCCACATTCTTTCATATACTATTCTTTCTTTTTGTCTTTTTGGTGACTCACGTGATTATATTTCCAGCGGTTTGCTTACATCGTTCGAACTCAAATAAACATTAAGACTTCGAATTTTGATTTTTCAAGTTAGTTCAGTAGGCATGTTTCCCGTGATGAGATGACTTCTTCATTTACGAGCCGTGTCTTTTCAGGATGTGGGTGATCATGCTTTCCCACAGCTTCCTCTCCCTTGTAATCCTAAACAGCGTGTGTCCCTTTGCCAATTAGCTACGCAACCGCCATCCATCCACCCAAGCTCGTCAGATATATGGCCCGCTGCCTTCCCCTGCCTTCCTTGCCCTCGACATGCCATGTGAGTGTCAATTTTTTCAAAAACTCCTTTCTCATTATATGTCCGGCCTTCTTCAAGCGTCTATCAATCTGGACAACATTCAGGGGATTTCAAACTGAACCCTTCATAAAAAGAATCAGACGTCTGAAAAATCAGCTCGTATACTAGGCTACGACAGCCTCCTAAGTAGACCTAGCAGAGAAATAAATACCATCCTGTAGCCGTTAATAAATGAAGAAAAATAAAATACAACCAGGTTCCCGGAGCAGAAATAAAAAAAAGAGAAGCGGCGGTGAATGCAGTCAAGTGCGACAGCAGCAGTAGCGGAGTCCGCGGCAGACAGGAAAGACGGACATTAAGTTTAAAGATCAAAGTTCTAAGTTCAGAAATGTCCCACTGGATAAAAGCATAGAGGATTAAACTTTGTGAATTTGGCGTTAACAGTTCAGTCCATGAGTAGGTAGTAGTAGAGACTTAGACTAAGTGGAAACAGGATGAGCAATAACTGGGCAGAACTAAAAAGAACGAGACATGGACTGCAGAATGAGAACAACCCTAGACATGGACTGCAGAATGAGAACAATCTACTCCGTAGATTGAATAAAGGGTTCAGTTCGAAATTCCCTGGGGTTTATCCGAATCGACAAACACCTGAAGAAGTACAAGAATAGTACAACGGATAGTAGAACGACTGAAACGTCGTGATAATAGATGAGGTTTATCGACACTATCTATTGTCCTCATCTTTGTTGTTATAACAACGTTTCTGATCTCCGGCCATTATCAGGTGTATATCGATCCGGGTAACCTACAGGGAATTTCGAATTGATACTCTTGGTGAATGCTGGCGGGCACAACGGCAAGGAATTGTCCGCGTGTAAATAACGATAACTTTTCATCCCAGAAATCCATAGAGAAATTATTGATAAAGATATTAGTCTGAACTTAGACAATTTTAATTATAACGAAGTAACTGATTGGCTCGTTCTTTACGGTTTATCAACCCTTTGCAGGTTATTTAAAGCCAGAAAATATTTTTAGATTTTAGGAATTTCTTTGGAGATAATAATGGTTTAGTGACACAGGTCTTACTAATTAATCTAATGGCTGGGAGGAGAGTAGCTGGATTCATACCTTCCCCATGGTATTTACGTGAACCCAACGGGAATTGGAACTCTGCTCTCTGGTTAACAATTCCTAGCCATTATTCATTACACTACGCTCACATGCAAATTATAGTACCTGGTATTTCCAAGCCGTCACCCATCTAGGTAATGACCAGACTCGTTGTTACTTAACTTGGGTGTTTCAACGTGATGTAGACGTAAGCCCGAAGAAATTGAATGCATGCTGGGGCATGGGTAGAGCAGTGGTTGTTGGCAGGGTCAAGAGAGCCGGTAAGTCACTAATACCTATGCTCTTCAGAAGGCATGAAAACATCTCTTCCCTTCCTATGCGAATGGTAGGGCATCTAGTCAAGGAGAAAGCCAACTCTGAAGTCAAATCCAACCTGAAGAAGGATAGACTATGTCACGCATTCTTCCCTTAGACACGCCCACTGCTGCTGCTGCTTTTGCAGTACCTGTAGTCCCGCAATGGCTTGCGTGCAATATTACTTAACAGTAAATCCCGAAGCTGTTGGTAAGTTACCTTGAATTAAAGCGTGCATCCGAACGGACACGTCGAATTACAGGTTAATCCTCGTTTTTTTTTGTCCATGGCCACCAAATTAATTCCAAGGTGAATATTAAAACTGCCGATTCACTTAGACCCGTCGCTTACATTTACTTGTACACCCGTAGTGCAGAAACATCCCTTTTAATTGTATTTAGCATTCATAAGGCATATTGAAAGCAAGAGAAGCAAGGGAAGAACAAGAACACAGATGAAAGAAAGGGTCATAAAATTGCCAGAGTTATTTAGAGTCACAAAAGACAGGAAGTTCTTGAGAGCTATGATCAGCAACGTTCTGAAAGAACATGGCACAGAGAAAAAGAGAGAGAGAAAGAGAAGAGAGAAAGAGAGAGAGAGAGAAAGAGAAGAGGGAGAAAGCGAATGAGAGAGAAAGTGCACAAAAGAGTGTATTCGTTTTATTTTTATTTTCTTCAGATATCATAGAGCAGGCATGAACAACCTTTTACGACCAGTGGGCCGTATCAGATATGGCTCATCATAAGGCCGCGGACCGCACTGCTAAAAAGATTCAAGATAATTTTTCGTTTAAAGTGCCTCAGTCATTTTCCCCACAGAAAACAAGGTTGATGAAAGGTTGATGGTTTTTGAAGGAAAGATTTCTCAATAATTAAAAAAATGAATTCCTGGTATAATTTTATCACAGAAGACAGTGGTTAACACACACTGTTGCATGTGATTTGTTTCCTATTTATTTATTCCTGCTTCTGAAGAACTTTTATATAGAGAGAGTGATTTCTTCACGGCAAGTGAATAATTTTTAATAATACTGTCCGAGTTGGGTTTAGTCTATAGAGTTGAGCGTAGGTTATCAACGAAGAAAGTATAAATTTCATGACAATTTCAAATTCCAGCCAAGGCCCTTGCGTTCGCTTTCGCACAAATACCCCTCGAAAGGTATAAATCTATCTTTTCTATCAGCCGGCAGGGTTAATAGCAGGGTGAACTGGGTCTTCTAGCTTTGATTGGCAACCAGTCTAGGAGAAGGACAGCTCTGAATTCAAAACCGGTTCGGCTACATCACATTGAAACGCCAGTTCACGTAAGTTAAGCAATGTCCGTCTGGTCAATACCTGGATAAGTGACCGTTTGGTAATACCAGGTGCTGGGTGTGCGGGTGCTCTAATACGCGTAAGTTTCTGCCATAGAAATGGTGAAAGGTTGATTGTTTTTACAGAAAAGATTTCTCAATAATTAATAAAATGAATTCCCGGTATGTTTTTTGTCCCAAAAATATATTTCTTCTCCAGATAAAAAAATGAATTATTATGAACGTCCTGTTTCTAAAGCAAATGATATTTACACACGTGGTTTTCCTTAATGAAAATCACCAATCGTTTAAAATGATGAAAACGTTACCTTCAACGAAAAGTTACAAAACTCAAGAATTTAGAAGTGACACGAGCCACACATGACCCGCAGACCACATTTTGCACATGACTGTCATAGAGTAAGGTGGCCAGGTTCCAAGTTTTGTCTCGTACTCATAGAGATGTGTGCAGACCAGAAAGTCTGAGGCAGCAACCTGAAATGCTATCAACCTTAAGTCAGAAGTAAACTAACAAATATACCCTCCTCCAAAAAAAAAAAAACAGTTATGAAAAATAGTCGTGACAATGTAATCATTAATAATTGTTGAGAGCAAATATGTTGAGTAGAATTTTCGCGTTGAACAGAGTTTTTTCCCGAAAAATAAAGCCTAAGCATGTGTTTAATAAATTATTTAATACATATATGAGAGACTAAGATAGATAGATAGATAGATAGATAGATAGATAGATAGATAGATAAGAACAAACTGAGAGAGAAAGAGAGAGAGAGGGGGGTATGAACAAAGACAGGTAAATATGTAAGTAAGAAGTTATGAACATAGGCAGGCATATAGGGAGGTATGTAAGTATGAACATAGATAGATAGATAGATAGATGAACAAAGAGAGAGAAACAGAAATGCATGAACAGGGGGAAGAGGGAGATCATAGGCAGGCCGGTAGGTAGTTAGGTAGTTATGAGCAGACTGAGATAGATAGATAGATAGATAGATAGATAGATAGATAGATAGATACGAACAGGCTGGGTTATCTATATTACGACTTATAAACCGATTTTTTTATATGTCACAGTTTAGATTTTCATGAATTGACAAGTGAATATGAATAATACTTTGTTTTATAGACTTTAGTGAGGATCGAACTCTCGATGATTTGGGAATGTCAGCAATGAAAGCAAAGCTTTTTCAAATGTTCATCGGTCTGGCCCTGACAAATCTATTATCTAATGATGCTAATAACAGCCATAATCAATAATAGTCAGCGATGGTATTAATCGCTGGTCACTGCACACACGCCTTTTAAATAGTTCATGCTTCATTGAATCCTCTGTCGTCATATATTGAAATCTTGCAAGCGAATGGTCGATTGTGCTTTTATGCCACTTTAATTGTATAAATTCAGACACGCTTTCTTTCGTTTTTTTCTCTCTATCCTCGTTCATCTCTCTCTTTCTCTTTTTCTTTGGCTCTTGGCTCTCTCTCTCTCGCTCTCTATCTCTCTCTCATTCTCTCTCTCTACATATATATATATATATATATATATATATATATATATATATATATATATATAGGCTTACTACAAATATAAAATTTGGCAACTAGCTGACTAATGTTACATTCGCGATTCTAGAGTTTTGGAGACGAACCTTTTTGTAATCGTTCGGTCCATTCGTCAGGAGATATCAGCAATAGACTAACTATTTTTTCTTTTTCGTTATTTTTATATTAAGTTAAAAAAATAATTTATGTTTTTTTTTTATTGGTATTAGGTTGATTTTTTTTCTTTGTGTGTGTCTGTATGCGTGTATATGTATACGCCTGTACGTGTATGTATGTGCGCATGCGTAGAATGTCGTGGTTATTTCTCTTTGCATAATTTTCTTGTTTTCTGATACTCCCGCCACAATTACGTTTCTTTCTTTTTTTTCCTCTTTCGCCTCTGGGTGTCACAGATCATGTCACAATGTTATTTCCGGTGTCACTGATAGGACTTTTTAAGGGAATTTTTTCTCGAAATTCTGTTTTGTTTTATTTTTTTAAGTTTGGAAAATATAGGTCTATTCCGTTTGTTTTAATTCTTGTTTAAATTATTATTTATGTTAATTAATGTCCACACACACACACACACACACACATATATATATATACATATATATATATATGGATTGACTTTGTTTATCGGCATATCAACCTTTATTTCTTAATGTCGAAATCTAAATATTTTGTACACAATTTAATATCTTCAACTACAATGTACTTTTGGTCATTTTAGTATAAAATGTATTGTTGGTAATTCTTCTTTAGAAATATATTGTTGTTAATTTTACTATAAATATGTATTGCCGGTAATTTTTTTCATGAAAATGTATTGCTGGTATTTTCACTATAAAAACGTATTTTCATACTTTCATAGTGTTTTGTTTTTGTTAGGGGTTTCACTATTTGTCTATAGCTAGGACGCCTAAGAGGTGCTGCCACCGCGGGTCAAGGTGAACGAGGGTACAACAGCAATTAAGAGGTGGTTCTATGCTCCTCAACTCCTCCAATATCCAGATCAGAGCACTTGCTGATGGATGTAGTTTATCGTCATACACAGGAATTAGTAATTCGTGTTGCTGCTCGAATAATTTCCTCATTTTTTCCGACATTGACTAGAACAATATCCAGTTTTTTCATCGGAAACTATTTTCCATTAATTTTGGTAGTAATCCCAAAGCTCTTGGAGAGTGCATGGGTTTTTTTTTGGAGCACTTGTTTCTTCAATTCCCACCGCATGGATTCAAATATATTGATATCAGGACACTGTGCTTGCGCATCTCATAAAAATTGAACATCTTTATCGACAAGAAACTTTTCTTGTTGGTGCATATGATATGTGGCAAGGAGCACAGATTTAATGAAAAACATTCTCCACCTTCGTAATAAGACCGAGATTTAAAACGTAGTAAACTAATTTAGTTTTCATTGTTTACGTTTTTATCAATTTTTACCAATTTTCTTCTACCATTTTTTTTCAGACACCATGAAGTGCCCACCGCCAGATGTAATTGTCTTTCTGGCATCTGGCATTGTTTCTTTGTCTCACCTCACTTCTTACATATTCTCTTGCATTAGATTGTACTCTATTTTGCAGACACAGCTATAAATTACTTTCTGACACTTTCCAGCATCCCATGTTAGATGTTCTTTTGTCTTCAATTTTGAAGTTTCTTTTAAAGTATTGGCCTTTTTTTCTGCGATTAGCCCGTTCAAGTTTTTTTTTATTTTCGTAATACAATACGTAATACAATACGTAATACAATACGTAATACAATACGTAATACAATACGTAATACAATACGTAATGTACCAATTGAAACCTTACTGTTAATACTACATTAATTTCAGATTTATCTGGCTGTTAATTTTGGATTGTCATCGAGACTCTCACAATCATTCTTTCATCTTCATTTTATTTTTCCCCCGTTTTGCTTTGTACTTAAAACGGAAGTAGTAGCAAACGTCTTTTGGTGGCTTGAACATTGTTTCTAGAAATTTCCAACCGTTTGGTTATTTCTCGTTCAGTTATCTCCCCTTTCACAGTCACAACCTTTATCTTTGTTTCAGCAGAAAATTTTAGCCAGGATTTTAGTATAAAAATATGACTAATGTTTAACTACAATAACTTGCCGAGGAACTTCACACTCATATTAATCAAATGAAACAATTTCTACTACGGAATTTAAATGACTTTATCATTTCCAATCTTTATTGGCCTAATAATTTTGCACGGTCTTTTTTTCAACTTCAAACAACTTGAAGCGATATATATCCTGTTACACAGCATCTACAAAGATGCAACATCTTATTTTCCAATCCTCAACTTCCACAGACACTGTTGATATATTGTTAAACAATTTTAACTTTTTAATAAAATAAAGGTGAATAATCCTTTCATGAAGATTACCCAAAACTTTTGTCTGCCAGTGTATGCCTAGATTTTTTAACTGTCTCTTTCCGATTTGAAATACAAATATCTTTTTTGTTCCCATTTTCCTTAAAACTTTTTGGTTGCTCTCTGTCCATGCTATTCTAAGCATCCTTCTGTAGAACCACATCCCGGTTGCCTCAAGTCTCCTCTTTATCTGAGAGGAAATTGTTAAGCATTCACTGCCATATAGGAGGACTGATATTACGTACCCGTTCAGCAAACCTTTCTTTGTTTCTAACGAAATGTGTCCGTTTCTTAATACTTTGCTTAGCTTTTGGAAGGCATTTTTCTGCTGTTTCATTCTCCCTTTGGATCTCTGTGACACATTTTTACTGCTATCTATCAAAACAGTTCCCGTGTAGTTAAATTTCTGTAGCTGCTTCATTCTAACTTCTCAAATTCGTTGCTCACATCTTGGGATGTCCCTCTTGTTAGCAACTAAATATCCTGTCTTTTTAAAATTGAAAATTAGTCCCCTCTTCCTTCTGTAGAACTTTTATATAGAGAGAGTGATTTCTTCACGGCAAGATACTTTGAATTATTATAATAATACTGTCCGAGTTGGGTTCAGTCTATAGAGTTGAGCGTAGGTTATCAACGAAGAAAGTATAAATTTCATGACAATTTCAAATTCCAGCCAAGGCCCTTGCGTTCGCTTTCGCACAAATACCCCTCGAAAGGTATAAATCTATCTCTTCTATCAGCCGGCAGGGTTAATAGCAGGGTGAACTGGTTTCTCTAGATTTGATTGGCATCCAGTCTAGGGAAAGGGCAGCTCTAAATTCAAAACTGGTTGGGCGTGTGTCTAGCAAGTCCAGGGCTTACAACTACATCACATTGAAACACCAGTTCACCGTATGATCACCGAAGTTAAGCAATTTTCGGCCTGGTCAATACCTTTATAAGTGACCGTTTGGTAATACCAGGTGCTGGATGTACGAGTGCTCTAATTGATAATGCCTCAGAATTGTTAATCGAGGAGCCAGGTTCAAATTCCCGTTGTGTTCGTTATATTCACTTAGGCGCAAATACTCTTGAGAAAGGTTTGAATCCATCTCTTCTCCCTCCAGCTATGTGTTTATTAGTAAGACCTATATCACTAAATATTATTATCTATAAAAGAAGTCTTAAAAAATATTTTCTGGCTTTAAATAACCTTCAAACGGTTGATAAACCGTAAAAAACGAACCAATCATTTACTTCTATACAATGTAAATTTCTTAAATTCGGGCCAATATTCCTTACCTATAATATCTGTCTGAATTTCTGGGATGATGAGTTATTAGATGCGGACTATTGTCCTCGACGTTATAATCTCCGGCCTTCTTCAGGTGTATCAATTCGAAATTCGGTATACATTATACTTTGTCGCTATACACCTAATGAAGGCCGGAGAACCCAACGGCTGAAACGCTGTGATAACAACAACAAAGATGAGGACAATAGTTTGCATATAAATAATGTAGATAAACCTCTTCTATGTTGTTGTTATCACGATATTTCGGTCGTTGTACTCCCGGGCCTTCTTCAGGTATTTGTCAATCAAATCAAGCACACCCGGTGAGGATCTGGTCTTAGTGAAGTGTGGCTGTGACTCTATCCATAAAAGGCGACTGCAGGCCTTGCATATATATTGTTTAGTTTGAAAAAGAATTTCGCTAAGAAGGGTGAGCGTCCTATACTTTTGGTCTCGTTTCAGCCTTACTATCTAATCGTAGTCAAGGTTAAGGTTTCGTATTGAAACTGGCTGGCTGCACTGCACTTGTGGCTCTCGAGGAGAGTAATCAATATTGAATAATATCAATAAGATTGCATGAGTGTAATGAAATCTAGGGGTTGTGTAGTTATCACTGGTACTTGTAGTCTATTTTGGAGCACAGGAAAAAAAAAACAATGCTTCGAATTTCCTGCCAGTGGATTTAACACAATGCCTTATCCTCAACAGTTCCATTCTGTCATCACTTGACCTTTTCACAAAGCTCAGTTTATCAAATCAATAATAAGGAAATGCTCTCATTCTAATAAAAGATATGTTTCGGGTGATGGGAAATAATAAAAGTAAAAAACAGCCA